TTTTTTTTTTTTTTTGAAAATAATAAGGAAGATATAGGAATAGCAATGCCAAAAAGTACAGAAACAAGGTATGGATGAATACACAAAACCATACAAATATCCCTACATAAGTAGCCAAATATTTCCAAGAAAAACTTATATATATAACTAAATGTTGAATTCCTTTCATTTACATGAATTCAGGTTTGAATAAAAGCATTTAAACTGAATAATGTTATAAAGTCTTACAATGGCTAATTCTCATAAACTTGTAACATTGACTGAGTGGCTACTTATGTAGGGATTTTTGTATGGTTTTGTGTATTCATTGCCACCTTAACATATTTTGGGAAGGGTAAAGATATAGCAGTGTTCAAAAGAGGCATGATAGTGGGTGTTGGTCTAGTGGGTACCACATTGACAAAGACAGTTTTGTTGTGCGATGACAGTCATTTAAAGCTTTTGACAGTAAATGAAATATCTGCTGTGAGAAGAAGTTGTGGTAGTAAACACGTAGTGACAGAAAGAGAAGTAAGGCAATTAGACAGGATGGTAAAGCTCAACTGCTAAATAACAAGAGAGACAGTCAATGTCGGACAGTCCACTCCCTTCTCCCATGATACCTTGCAAAGAACATTGTAATGAATAAACTATGGGAGTGGTAGACTAGTAGACCATAATATAAATCACTGATCTTGGTTACCAACAAGGAACATTGCCTCAAGTGGTATAAGGAGTATATACATTGTACTGATGCATACACTATTATTTACTGAATGGGTAAATATCCCCCAGGACATTTTCTATCACCTTGTGGCTTCTATGCTGAACAAAAGGTGACCCACCCTTTATTAGGTATAGGTGACCAGATAGTGTATATAAACACATACACAAATTGAGCCATCTGTTTATTGATTAAAAAATATATTGTATTTCATCAATATATGATTAGTTACTAAGGAAATATAATTTTGTGATTCTATTTACAAAATGTGGTTAAATTTCAAAGGTGTTGTTGTTTAAATATGTAAGGGTTTACTGAAAGTGAGCAAAAATAAAGGAATTTGTTTTTGTAGTCTTAACAAGGCAGTGGAACAGTTCACGCTATCATGTGCTGGATACTGTGTAGCAACTTATGTACTTGGAATAGCTGACAGACACAGTGATAATATCATGGTGAAAACAAATGGACAGGTAAATTTGTGGCTCATTATTCTACAATAACATGATAATCATATTTCCAATATTGTGTTATCAGCATCCTAATGTTTATCTTGTAAATAACTATATATATATATTTATTACTTTTATTATTTTTGAAGGTATAGTTTGTATTGATATTACATAATTAGAGGTCATCTACTGCTTTCTTCTTACTTGTTTTCATATTCTTTAATTCATCTATTCTGTGTATTTGTTCCTAAGTCCAAAAATGTTCCATTAAATATTTTAGAAGTATTTCACCATATGCTTGTGAAAGTTTTAGAGTATAACTTGCTGGAAGAATAGTCTGTTGATATAGATTGATGAATGGTACAACAGACTTGGAAAATGTGTTAATGTATTCTATGAGATCTGTTTAAAAATGGATCCAACAGAGTATAAAATGTTTCAATTCAAAATCTTTTCTCCATTGAATTCTGACTTTCTGCTCTCAATATGCGTGTATGCCAACAAGCTCCCACGTATCTAAATGAACCGAAAATACAATTACTCTTGTATTGATTTTATTTTCAGGCTACAATAGGAGAAATAGATCTAAAGATCTTTGCCCCACCGATTTGCTACAAAACTTATTTGTATTTGTTTGTAAATATTGATTACTTTAACAACATTAAATATTTCTAAGTGTCTGACATAATGTTGAAGATAGGTTGTAATGGTATTGTTATTCTGATCACATACTGTACCATTTAGCTATTATGACTATTATGTGTGTAATTATTTTAGAATAACATACATTTTAAGTAAAATGAACGATTTAATACATTATTTTATGGTTAAATAACCTTGTATTGCTTAAATGAGTAAGCCACTATTATTGTTATTTTATTTCAAGTGTGTTTTAAGTATGCTGTTCTTTCTGTTCAGTATAACTATTGGCTTGGTTCTAGTTTTTGTCAGTTCCTGAAAAGTTTTTTAAAGAATCACCAAATTCTCTGCTACAAAGTATGGATAACATATGCATCCCCATGTTTTGTTACCCTATAAATATGGAACCCTAGATGGAGCCAAAAATGCTACTCCCAAAAGAAAGTTCTTAAATAAATCATAATACATTGTTAGAAATTTTGTATCATTATAAAAGAAGTGAAAAGTACAAATCCATACATAATTATCAAATATACCATGAAATGCAAACAATGTTTTTTCTCACCTTATACATATTAGTTTGATAGACAGTTAAATTGCATTTAGAATTTACTTTTACATTTTAGGTAATTATGTATTATTTGTGTTTTAACATTCATATTCGAAAGGATTAATCATTTTGAAAATTTATTCTTTGTTTTGTTTCACTCAACCAGCTTTCATAAAAGTAGCGAAAGCAAAACAACATTTTGCCAGAGGCTAAAACTGTCTTTGCAATGTTAGCATTATATTGCCTGCAGGCACCTGTTGATGTGTGTCGAAATAAATGACAATGATATAGAACATAAAAGGAAAGTAAGACATTAAAAATAAACTAAAAGTGAAAAGGTAAAGGTGTGAAATTTTGCATATGACCCAAAGAAGATATTGTGAGATTATTCAACGAAGTAATAAAAAGTATGTATATATTTTCATTTCCTTATTTTAAACATTTCAGTGCATTGTACATTAATGATAATAGCTAAAGTTAGTGATATTGTAGAGAAAATGGCAAGAAAACTTTATACATTTACCATAAAAAACTTTTGACATTCTTTTAGGAGGTTCTAAAGATTATGCAAGTGAAATGTGAAAACTGTAAGGTAAAAAGTAGTATTTTTATACTTAACATGAAAATAACTTTGCAAGTGAACTCTTCAGAGACTGAGTGCAAATAACCACATTAAATAACGAATTTTTAATACAAAAAACAGAAAAAAAATCAAAAATTGAATATTTTATTTTACTGAAACTACATACTTTTAGGAAGGCTCTTGTCAAAATTCAAACACTTTCATCAACTAGTGTTATTTCTGTAAAGATGCTTCACGAGAGCTATGTAACTCTCTTACAATAGATGTAGGTTGTCCTGATGGGGTTATATGATACTAAGTACTTCTTTGATGATACCCTTCATAAAAACTTGTACAGTTTTACACTGAACGAATTCATTCATACAAGTCATAACATTTTTAAATAACTTGGATACTGTATGTATTTATATATATATGTCTTTGTGTAACTTATAACAACTTACAGTATTCAAGTTAAATAACTCAGTATGGATTTTAGTAGTTTATAGTGTTAGGAAGAATAACATATATTAAGTTTAAGTAGTAATAAATACAATGGCCAAATTTGATAGACAAGGTATATGAAGTTTTACATGTCACAATTTTACTTAGGTGCTTGGTAATTTTTGCAAAAAATGTCCAACCTTAGCAGGTGTCCTTAGGTCAAAGACCAAACATACCACTAGCAGGGAGGGTACACAACTAATGATCTAAGGTAGAACGGGAGGGCACTCAACTAATGATCTAAGGTAGAACGGGAGGGCACTCAACTAATGATCTAAGGTAGAACGGGAGGGCACTCAACTAATGATCTAAGGTAGAACGGGAGGGCACTCAACTAATGATCTTGTAGTTTTCCCGTTGCTCATAATTAAGGCTATTTAGTAATAATTTCAATTATCATTATTATTATTATTATAGAATTTTAGCAGTTCCTCTGGTTTAAATTATTACATAATAGAGCATTGAATAGTTAGAACACTTCTTACGTTTAATGTGTTATAACAGTGACTTGAAAATTGTTTGTTTGTTTTTTTTCAAATAAAAGTGTTACTAAGATTCTGTACATGCACTTGTTCTCTCAGGTTAGGTTTAAAGCTATATGGATGTCGTATACATGTTAATCTATCATGAAATAAGTAATTGTCTCAACATTTTTTAAAAGCTGGATAGCTGAATCTTATTCTAAAGTTTAAGAATTTCTAAACTGTTACAGGTTATTTTCTTTGCAAAAGTTGTATACAATTTGTATTTAATAGGTAAATGTTTTTTTAATTATATGGATGCAAGCACTTTCTTTAAAATTTTTAGTTGTTCTTATTATTCAGAATGTACCAAAATCAGTATCATTTGTTGATATTTTTAACATATTCTTAATTCTTTTTCTCTTTGTGTATTATTACATTTTTGATGTTACTTTAAGTGTCACTCTCATTTGGGCTTTTTACGTTAGCTGTTCCACATAGATTTTGGACACATTCTTGGGAAATTCAAAGAGAAGTTTGGAATTCGAAGAGAAAGAGTCCCTTTTGTACTCACTAATGACTTTGTTTATGTTATTAACAAAGGAAGTACCCAGAAAAGTCAAGAATTTAGTAGGTTAGTAGTGAACATAATACTTGAATGAACAGTGAAAAACTAATGTTTTCATGATTTCATTTTAATGACTTAAAATATAATGTGACATGGTTCTTTCTTTTTCTCTTTTTTTTTAGTTCTGGATATTGTTTTTTCTCAAAACTATTATTTCCTGCCTGCTTTGGGGAAGATTTATTTGCAGACAACATACTCTCTAGAAAACAAACAGAAAATCAAAAGGATTTTATCATAAGAATATGTGCTTTGTGGTCTTTGCAAATATGAAGTCAAGATTAAAATTGTGTTTGGCCAGACATGGAGAAGTTTATTTACAAAAATAAAGTATACATACTTGTGTGCATAAGGGGGGCAGTATAAAGTTTTAGATCAAGAAAGCTTCTTCTGATTGGCTAATTCTGGAATTCTTTTGAATTCTGATAGGCTGGTATTTTCAATGCCTGTGAGGCAAATTTATTTTTAGGAGGATGGGAGAATGAACTTGATTTTCATTTGTGTTTATCAGTTTATACATAACTGGACTAAATTTTTGTAGTTAAAGAAAGAATAAGTCTGTACTTTGATCCTTACAGCCGTGTACTCTTACTAAATTGCTCAGTCATGAGACTGTTCACTTTTACCAAATAACCATGCAAGATTTGTTGATCAATTTCATTTTTACCAGGCAAAGAATGAAAAATTTCTTTTCATGGTTTATTTATTTTACCTGTGTGTAAAGTGTGATTCCCATATTTTCATTGCTTGCTTTGGATAAAGTGTTACATTTTTTTATATGTAAGAAATGTGTGCATTTTGAGTACACCTTATATTGATAAAGTTTGCCACCATGACTTTGAAAATATTCAATAGAAATTATGTATGAGTGAAAAATACTTTTGATATTTTCACTCATTAGTAATTACTTGTTCATTCAGTGGTGAAGAAAGTTTGAAAACTGACAAATTTTTTTGAAGTACTAGTTGTTTCCTACAAGTGATGAATATTAAATGTGATATACATTGGTGATCACTGGGATTATGAAAGTTCTAATATTTAAGTTTACATAAAAAATGCCTAATTAAGGTGTCATGCCATAATTACATTTCAAGCTCTTAACAAAAAGAATTCTAAGTAGATGAGCTAAATATTATTGACACTGCCTTGTGTGACATATTCAGATCAAATTTAATTTATTTTGAGCAGTGGAATAGGTCCATTGAATAACAGGAGATTCAACAAGATCTATTGCAGAGTTTGTGAGATGGAAATAAAGAGACTGGACATAATGTAAAATACAAATGAACAATCTTTATTATAACACACAGTACCTGAACATGCTTGGCTGACAAAGGGCAGTTGCTTTTACTGGATCAGCGATTTGACTCTAATCTTCGAAATCATACACAAGACTGTTTAAATCTGACATTCCTTACTTAACAGGTAATGTCAGATTTACCCACAGTGACTAATGCTACCCATTTGATTGGTCATTCTTATTCAAACATAAGGGAGGTTATAACCTTGTGGTGCCACCTGACCTATTGTTGAAACACATATCTGTCTACATTCTTGCACAATGTGCAGCCTTATATCCATGAGCAGAATGTGTTGTCTCAAAAGAATGAAAAAGGAGCAAAGGTAGCTTGAACGAAATCCAACTTAATGACTTTCTTGACCATGTGTTATGAGAAAACTGCAAGTACCAGAAACTGAAACATTCTAAATCCTGCAAAGTAAATGAATATCTCTGTCTGTATCAAAGATGTTAAAAAAGTATCTTTTCTCAAAACCATTATTGATTAGCATAATACTAACCTGAAATTGTATCAATATACAAATTCATACTAATAACTATGCTTTGAGTTTTGTTTTGTACATTAAATGTTGTTGTTTTTTAAGCTTTTACAACCTGAAAACATTTTAAATTATTAGATTTCAGGATTACTGTGAAAAGGCTTTTGTGATTCTACGACGAAAAGGTTCCCTGATAATTTCCCTTTTTGCTATGATGCTTTCAACGGGTATCCCCGAACTAACCAGTGAGAAGGATCTGTACTACCTGAGAGAGACTTTAGTCCTAGACATGACTGAATCTGAAGCACTCCAACATTTTAGGTCCAAGTTTTTGGAAGCTTTACAGAATAGCTGGAAAACCAGTTTGAACTGGTTGGCCCACAACCTTGCCAAAGACAACAAAACAGTTGACTGATTTCTGTATTGTCATAGATAATGTTGTTGTATTGTTATCCTCTTTAAGTGAAAAAGTGAAAAGTTTTTCGTAGATGTTTTGTAAACATTCGCATTTTAGAATAAATAAAAATTTAATAGGATACTGAGATAAAAATAGACATTTTAAAATATTATTTCTTAAGGTATAAAGTAAATAAAACTATTCCTTATGATAAAAGCTTGTGAATTTGATTAAATTTGGATGTGGAAACAATTTTAAGTTTTCCTTTTGTTTATTAAGTTACTCTTTAAAAAACATTTGGCATAACTATTTCTAAACTTTATCACCAAAGCTATTGGTATGTTTCCTTTGAAATGGTTTAATTTGTGAATAAGTATTAACACATTCCAAGATATGTTGTGGGTATCTAAGAACAATTTTGTCATCTGTTTCATATTTACATTACTTCATTAAAAGTACACACATTTGTTTTTTGTATTCCTTGTAACGATTCCTTACTGTGTAAAGTGTCATTAACAGTGAGTATTGTAACAAAAGGATGGTGTTAAAAGTACTTCCAACTAGATGTTTTAATAAATAGTCAGATTGGCCAAATTTTCAGGCACTGCATAATTACGTGTGGTATATATGCATGTGTGAGTGTGCATGCGTGTGTAAATCTTAGTTGACAATCAGACAGATGGTTATATGTCGTGTTATGTTACAAAAATGTACTTTATTCTTTGGCACATTTTTGTCATAACAGTGGCACATGTACAAAGAGTGGATATACTTGCAATAGGAGAGTGTTGTATATATATATATATATTTCTTTAAATGTGATAAAAAATCAATATAGATTGGTTTGAATGAATAACTGACAATCATAATAAATGTAATAATGCCAGTATCATAATGAATTTAAATTTTTCAGCATGTGTCAGTAACCAAATGTTTAGTTGACTATATTGCTTTAAAGCTCCTGTTGTTGTATTATTTAAGAGTTTAAGTGCAATAACTTTTCTTTTTCTAACATAGTTTTATTTGAGTTTCTGATTGTTTCTTCTTTGTTTTTAAATATATATATCATAGAATTTCAATGTTCTTTTTTTTTTCCCAACTTGTAACCAAACTAGTATGATGTAAGGTTTGATGTGATCCCTCATTTTTACTGAATCCTAGACAAAGGACTTTTGTAAACTTTAAAAAGAGTATGCAATTTGAATATCAAGGAATCGCATGGTATTACCATTAAACTTGACTGATTTGTAGAAAATAAGTGTTTTGTCTTGTTACTGAAGACTTCTGTGATATAGGTACAAATTTTTGCGTGGACAAATCCTGGATAAGAGACTTTCTAGAACTGAAAATAGTGAGTATTTTAAACATCAAGAAGTTGTATGGTATTAGATCAAGTTCTGAGTGGTAGAAAGCAGGTGTTTTGTCCTGTTAAAAGAAACTTGTATGATAAAGATAGAACACTTCACATAAATATCAGGTAATATTAAATGTGATATAAAGCCAGTATTAAAGATATTTATATCATAGTATTATATATATATATATCCTAACATAAAGAGAAAATATGGTTTATTCACTTAGAGGTAATAAGACTTATAGCTAGCTTAAGCTAAAATGCAGTAGTATGAGCACTTTTTGTTTAACATTAGCTTTTTCATTGCCACTCACTTTATAAAACTACATTATGTGAAATAATAAAAACTGGCATGGTAATGTAGCTTCTAACCAATTTGTTACCAAAATAAGTAGATCATTTTAAGTATTATATCTGTTATGTGTGGACAAAATAATTGGATGATTAATTTTTAATAAAAATATTGAGGTGTTAGTCCAAAGAGGTGGGCTTATGTAAAAAGTAGGGTACATAACATGCCCATTGATAATCAGAAAGTGAAAAAAACTCATGCAGGTCCTAAATGTTACATGTAGTTTTATTTAGATAAAGAATAACATATTTTTGAAAACTTTTTCAAAGAGGGCAGTACAAGCATAAAACATGTAATTCTTTAAAAAAAAAATAATAATAATAAAACACCATTATTAATTTTGCTGAGTCCGCATCATTTTTTTTTTTTTTGGTTTATTTTGCATTATTTCAACATATATCAATGATTTACTCTCAGCTTTGAACAGTTGTCTGACTGCCAAGAAATTATGTGCAGCACAAGATGATTTTGAAGGATAAGTCCTTATAACCTTTTTACCATGACATGAATGGAAATTTTTCTTTTTAAAGATTCAAGTTTAGTTAAAATTTTGTTTTTGTAGTCTCGACTTAAAGAATTCCCTTTAAGCAAAAATATGAGATTATAATGAATTCAGACTGAAATGAAATTTAGTATATCAAACAATAAATGACCTTTCCTGAACCAAAGTACCACCACCTCTTAATGAAGTAATTGTCTTTCCTTTACTCTGTAGTGGCTGACTCATTTCTTTGCAATTAGTATCACTTGAATTAAGTTTGTTATAACAGAATTCACATTCAGTCATTGTTTGAAGCCTGGTGCTTGTTGTTTTCAGTTATGATGTATCCACATGCTAGGTGTACTGCCTTCATTATCTATCAAAATATAATATTTTCCATTATTTCAACACAGTTTCTTCTTGTATTGTCATAATATGAGTAGTATTTCTAGGTAGCCTCAACACCACATACACACTAAAGATGTGGTTTTCATTACCATAAGGGATGGTACTTATAATGGAAATTTTTACAGGACTGACACATCCAAAGTTTTTCTGCAAGGCTAAAGCAAAAAAAAAACTTGTGATTTAAGTTGTTTCCTTTAATTGCTAGAAAACGTTGAAAAATAATAAACATTCACTGATGTGCAATAAATTACATTTGCTTATATAGAAGCAAGCTTTGTTCAGATTTTATATGATGATCCAGAGCAGCCTATCATAAACTTTATTTTTTTCTAATGTTTGTTATATGTGTAAAACTTTTAAGTTACCAGTTTTCAGGATGGTTATGATAATATATGTGACCTGCCTTCTTTGAAAGACTTTTCAGTAATATAGTGGAAAAATTTTCTTTTTGAAGATTTTTTTTTTAGAGAATCTGGCAAAATCACCCCCCCCCTCCCTTTTTGGGTTGGTTTTGGTTAAATATGAAATACAGTTTTGAAGATGCATGTCAAAAACATTTTTAACTTATGCAGGTGTTAATAATACAGCAATACATTTTATGCATGATAATGATGCATAACCTCTAAATGAAGGACATATATTTTAAGAAACTGTTTTTGTATTGATCATATTGGTTTTGTAAAGAAATGTTTAATAGTTTTTTTCATTTTCTGTTAAACTATATAAAAAAAAGTTCATTACATGATATTTTCCATTGTTACTATTTTTGAAATATACACACAAAAATTGGGGTCAGTGAATTTAACTTATTTTAACTTCTAATCATACATTTTTGCAGTACATAAGCTTATGAACCCTAATATATGATTATATAATTTTATACCAGGTCTTGAGAAATAAGGTTACTTGTTTTCAGGCCTGGCATGGCCAGGTGGTTATGGCACTCGACTCGAAATCCGAGGGTCGCGGGTTTGAATCCCCATCCCATCACACATGCTTGCCCTTTCAGCCATTGGGGTGTTATAATGTGATAGCCAATTCCTCTGTTAGTTGGTAAAAGAGTAGCCCAAGAGTTAGCAGTGGGTGGTGATGACTAGCTGCCTTCTCTCTACTCTTTCACTGCTAAATTAGGGATGGCTAGTGCAGATAGCCCTCGTGTAGCTTTGCACGAAATTCAAAACAAACAAGTAAACTTGTTTTCATTATCATGTAGGGGACCAATGTTTATTACTTTATTATAATTATATTTAATATAGACGTAAGGAATAGTTTTCTTGGAGTGACTAAGTGATTTTCACAAATCCTGGTCCATTGATATGAGAGACTTTGTTTAATTTTGTACTCTGTGTGTATCTGATTGTAAATTATAGATAGAAACATTTCTTAAGAACTAACTCGTGTTTTTTTTATATTTATAATTGGGTCAGAAAATCCTCCCAATTTACATAAGAGGTTTGCACCTTAAGCATAAGGATGAGTCTTAAAGTATTATTACCAAATACACTCAAATGTAAAAAATACTGGTAAAACTAGTATTATATTGTAGAACATTAGACCTTTTAGACAAGAGTCCACATTTTAAATTTTTATCCTGGGTAGTATCTCCCTCCTAATATATTAACATTTTAAATAGTTGTAAAAAAAGTTGATATTACTAGGAAATTGAATCATTAAATGTCTATTTTGAAGCTTAAAATAGTAAAAAATGTAATATTTATATGCATGCAAATATAAAATGTCCACAATTTCATGAGAGACTGACCAGATGAATGTTTGAAGACTTGCCACACTTTAAATAACATTAAAACAAGTCAATTGCCAAGGTGTTACTTAGGGCTTTACTGTGTGTTTCATGGATATATCACTGTTTAAATCTTCCTCAGTGTCATATGAATTAAGAAGAGTTTGTTTTGTATGTATAATAGCAATGTAAAAAACAAAACTATTGATCTATTAAATAAAGTTATTTGATGGTATGAGAAATTATTCTATTATCCAGAAAATCTCTTGAAAACAAAAGTACTAGAAACTTTTTAATGTACATTACATTTAATATTTTGTAATCTAGTACTGCTTTGTTACTGTTGTCAAGTATACAACGAGCTGATGCCTCTTTTTACAAGGTTTGTTTTTGAAAATGTTATGTATAGAACATGAAGCTTTTATTAATTTTGAATATCATGCTTGTACAGTATAAATATATGTGATCATTTTTATAGAATCAGCTTGTATGCTGCAAAGTAGTACTTTTTGGATTTACTTTAATTGATAAGTATGGAAGCAAATTATACGTAATAGACAATCTATAAATAATAACGAAAATTTACTAGAAATTATGTTGAAGCTGGTGTAGAGTGTTTGTAATATGCAACATAATTATTAACAGTATGAAATTATGGAACGTTTCTTTTGTATCTTTAATAAAAAGATTATATTGTCATTTATAGATGACCATCTTTAATGTAACAGCAGATTAAAGTAAATGTAAGTTATGAAGTAGTAAGGATTAGAAAAATACTGGTGTAAAATTTAATCTTGTATATTGAGCTTGTAATTAGCAAAAATTAACTGTATGATACTTAAAAGTTAATAGGAGATGCTATCCTCTCTAAGTATACAAATTCATTTGTTTTTACTAAGTTACCAAATATAATTTTAGTTGAGCAGTTATTTTGTGTGTGTGATTTGCCAAAGTTTTTGATGAATTATGTTACAAACTTGGAATTAGTGTTCTGTGAGTAAATATTTGAAGTTTGTTAAACACTTACTATCTTTTACTATGTCTTCATACACACTTTAGTTGTTTCTTTTTTATCATGGCAAAATGTTTTATGTAAAAATAACCATGCTACAGAATACCAGAGTGATACCTTTGTTTTGAGTGACATACAGTTGAGATGTATGTAATATCTTTCAATTCATTCAATGCAATTACTGTTTGTTTTGTATTCAAAAGTAATCAACTACAATTAATGTACAAATAAATCCTTCTCCTCATCAAAAAAAAAAAAATGGCTGATTTGAATTAATGAAAATTTTAGGTAAGATTTGTCATATCTTTGAAAAACCTGGTGTATGTTTGTATTAAAATTTATCTTAACTCGTGTTCTTATTTCAGTTTTGAAGAAGAAAACAAAAGCTTTGATAGTGGTGTTTCACAATCTAGCTTTTGTGTTTTGTTATTATTCAACCCTTAAATAACCTTTTAAAAACTGCAGTTCCTGTTAAAGGTTTTTCTAAATTGTATTCACTGTTAGATACAATTTCTGTTCAAAGAACAAATGGAAATTCACTGAGTCAGTAATGCTTACAGGGTAATTCAGTCTCATCCTCATCAAGAGTGTCCATCATTAATCCTGGTTACTGATTTCAGTGATAATGGAATTAAAGCAGTTTTGTTTCATATATATATATAGGACAGGATAAAAATATATAATTATGTATATAA